ATATAAAGTGGCCGGATGAACAAGTGCGACTGATGGTTAGCAGTTGCAGTGCCATACCGGGTCACCCTGAGGTACAAAGTTGACATATCCCATGTGTCTGACATTTCACCAACTGGCTTAGCGCCCAGATGAGAAAGTTTTCGCGCGGCCGAATAGGGACGTCCGCGGCGGCCGCCGCGCGGTCGTGCGTTGACAAAAGACAAGCCAGTGCCTTCCAGTTAAAATCTAAATAAATAGAGTGTATTTTGCAGTACAGTTCGGTGTCTGAACACGTCCACGCGGTCGTTGGGCGGCGGTCGCCGCAGACTCCGCTCTTCAACCGCGCGGGGTGAGCGCGATGAAATTCTTTAAAACCGAATATTTTATTCAAAATGTAACGGTTTATGAAGCAGAAGGAAAGGTTCATTAAATACTTTGTTTTTTTTTATGTTATTCGTGCCAATTAATAACAACTAATAATTACGATTGTAGAAATTTAAAGATAAATACTTTTCCATTACCCTTCGACCTTTGTCTATCGACATTTCACAAAGGCGCTCCGGATCATGGCCGTTGCCTTGAGAAGGGCCACCAAGTACTTCCGATCAAACAGGAAATGGCAGACTAGATTTTCTGTGTATAGTAAGTAATGAGCCTGAGACCAATTCGTCAAATTATTGTTTATTACTATTAACTAAGTCACTTACAGCATGGTAAACTTTCGGCCAAGAACGTTCCGTTCGATTCCCGGGCCGGGAGAAATATTTGTGTGGTCTTTATTTATTTCTCCCGTGAGTTTGGGTGTAATTTGTGGTTGCCTATGTGTATGTAAATGTAAGCCATACAAATATTTCTCCCGGCCCGGGAATCGAACCCGGGACCTCTGCGTGGCAGACCAGTATGGTAACTGTTCAACCACTGAAGTTAAAAGCAATCTGTTTCGTCTTTGTCCAATTAAAAAATATGATATTGGCAATGGCCACTATAATGACAATTTTGTTGTTTATTATTATTATTTCTAATTAATCACGCTCTCTCTCATCTCTCTCATTTAATATTATGTATTTATTGAGTACGGATTATAGAGCAATCAGCTTAAAACGATATATCACAGTTAAGACTCTCAAAACGTAATGAATAAAATTAATTCGTGCAAAAAGTCACTCATTTATTTGTTGTATACCTACTTTGCATGGACAATGTCGGAAGAAAAGAAAAATAAAAAGAAAGGCGAAAAAACGCCTAATCTGGCACCACTGACAAGACACTTTTGCCCCCTCCCCTAAAATCTTCAACAACTGTGACATCTAGCGACTCAAATTGGTAACCACAATATAAAAATGTCTGTGAAATACGTTTTCAATACAAGTACTTCTAATTACAACATACTCGTTATAACAACAGTAATTACATATAATCAGTACTTAACAATTGGCTAATATAATAACTACAATTGAATTTATAGCTATTTAATTAAATAAATAATTAGCGGAATATGACTAAAGTCCCGGAAGGAACCGCTCGCGATCTCTAGTGGCATGCGTGACAACCATCAAATTAAAATCAGAGCAAGAATATGCTATTAAAATTGTGAACTTGAGAAGAGAAAATTTATAGTTTACGTAAATGACAAGTATTATTAGTTTAATACTTTCATAATTATAACAAAGTATGTAACGTGATATAAGTGTAAAGTGCTGTATATCTAAGTAAGAAAATGGTCTGGCTTTGGGAAGAACTTGTACCTAACTAAATGTTTGAAAATGAACTACTATTTTTTTAAGCATGCTATTGATGATCCTGTTTTACAAATTAAGAAGTGCGTTTCCTCTGAAGGAAAGTAGCTACTATCATCTTTTACATAAGTAGATTACTTTCCAGCGGGCCCTCGTTACTCTTTATTATAAAATATAGCTTTTACGCCCCGGATTTTCGTAATTTTGTTAACAACATTATTAAATTTACATGTTTAGCAACAACAAAAGGATTCGAAGTAATAGCACCCAACAAAAAATTACACTGTCGGGTCTTTTATAATAGAATAGAATGCGTAGAATATAATACGTTTATTTGCCAGAATACAGTAATTACATAGGCCTTAAGTGAAGTTAGGTATCTCATTGTATTCAGCCTGCAAGCAGATGTGCAAATATTAATGGGATTCAATGTTTAGTCTATAAAGTTTCTAATTAATGTAATGAATTTGTAAACTCTAAGTATTTTTTATTACTATTGAAGCAATGTGTCAAAAGTCATTTTGTCAATTGTTATTTTAAAGTGTGTCCTTGTAACAATTTAATATGGTAATTTATTGTAAATAATTAGGCACACGTTGAAGCAGTTAATCTTATAAATTACTTTATGGCAACGAGGTTGGTGTAAAAGATTCACAATTTTTGCTCTAGTTTGCCTTTGAATGACTTCATCGCGTGTTTTAAAATATTGAGTATGAGAGTTGCCAAATGCGCAGATATCCCTAATGTACAAGCATGGCGAAGGTAATATGTTTAGCCTTTTGAACAGCGGTTTGCAACTGTCATCGAACCACGCGCCGCAAGTAGCTCGAGTTCAGTTCTTTTGGACTTTAGACGCTCTTTCTTAGAGTCGTATTCCAGAACTGTACTCAATGCTCAAGTCAGGATTTGAGCAGACTTGAGTATGATTTCAAGCACTGGAAATACGACCCTAATGGCAAGGACTTGAGTATGATTTTCAGTGCTCACTGTAATACTCAAGTCCTGACTTGAGTATTGAGTACAGTTCTGGAATACGACCCGCACTGGAAACACAAGCACTGGAAGTACGACCCTAATGGCAGGGACTTGAGTATGATTTCTAGTGCTTTGAATCATACTCAAGTCCTGACTTAAGCATTGAGTAGAGTTCTGGAATACGGCCCTAAGACTACTAAGTTGTCCCATAGTACAAGACCGTTTAATTTTTCTGAGCTACACTCATTGTATCACTAGCGCCACGTAGCGGATAATTGAAATGTATACAACATAATCTAAAGAACTTTTAAGTAATAAACCTTGATTACTTTTGATTTACTATTACTCGTGAGGCTTATAATAAAACTAAGTTTATTTACACCAGCATCATTAACCGGAAGATAACCACTCCAGAACATGAACTCCAATCTTTTTTCGATTTAGGGTCAAACAAACAGTCTGACATGCAAGTGTGGCTCCAGCAATCTTGAATAAGTTCAGTTAGACAATAATATTCGTTTAATTTCAGTCTACACTCAAACTATATTCGTTCATTCAAAATAAGCACTAGAAAATAGGTCACTAGGACAGATTACATTTAAAGCTTTAGACGCCAGCTATCGACGAGTAGCGGAAACTACATGTGACGTAGCGCGTTCCATTATAATAAAAATGAAAGGTAAATATGTATCATTTGTTTCTAATTTTGAAATTGGGTCATTAGATTAAGCTATAAGTTGATTTACTACATATCACACAAGGTTTATTTTTTTTGAAATACATATCTTATGTGGCAGTATAGATAATAATAACGAAAGTGATGAAGTAAAAAAGTAAAAAATGTTTGCAAAATATTTATTAACCGCGACATGACTTGTTTGATGTGACAACTACTTTGTAGTTTTAATTACACCTTGCAATAATCTCAACATGAATGGGGGCGCTTAACGCTGCTGTTTATATAAAATTTTGAGCTTGTTCAAATCGTCAAAAAATGTTTAAGTAGTTAGTTAAAATGAGAGACTAAAACGAATCATGATAGCATTGTGATTTTTTTACTATTTAGAGTTGTGTTAAGTTCGTCCGTTTTAATTAGTATTACTACTGAACTATTAAGGTATTAGATAATTACAGTGTCTACCATTGACTTACCAGTACCAGACCTACAGTAATCTAGTAATCATTCGATTAATAACTTGCTTAAAAATCTTTAAGGGCGCATTCCAATTACAAGCGCTGCAGTCGCGCGGTTTTGCAAAAATATCTTACTTATGATTGCACCCATATATTTCATTTACGTAAATTCGATAGTTAAATGTTTTCAATTTTGACAGTTAATGTTTAGTAAAATTACGTTGCAGTTCCTAGTTGATCACCACGGTATTTTGGTATGGCATGTAGACATTTTGTTTTCATATCACTAGAGTACGTCATGTGCTAGCTCCCTCTACTCGTCGATAGATGGCATGTAATGTCCTATATTTCAAGTGCGCTAGTGACCTATTTATTAAAATCAATGTTTTGTTCGAGGATGAATTCGGTAAGCGCCATTTCGGCGACGTAAAATAAAATGAACGCAGGCGTACTTTAAACCAAAAGATGCTAGTATTCAATTTCTAAAATGGTCCGGTACATTAAAGAGGAAGGGATTTGTTTATCATTTATCATAATACCAGAGTCATAATTTACACTATATCATAGTCAGTTAGTCACTGGTCATTTTAAAATAAAAGTAGCATCGATACGACATGAAGTAGAACTAGTAATTGAACGAAATAGCTTTAAAACGTATTAGATCTGACAGTTATTGATTTTCTAACCAATTTGGAATAAACACAACTGTATGATTGAGTAAGATAATACATTTTTTATTCCAACTGTATTCAAGTGATTCTGATTCACCGAATGAGTAACCTGAATCAACTGAATGTAGGCCATCACTTTGTTTGACAGTTAACGTCAATGTCACGTTGCAACTCTAGGTGCGCTTTTGTTCGTGTTGTTTGACGGTTCGTGTAGGCGGTCGCGCCGAACGAATCGCTCGCTCCGCCGTCGACGTCGTCGCCGTGCGTACGCTCGGCCTGCTGTCTCAAAACCCGTGTCGCGCGCCTTTTCTCGTCTTTGTAGTTTGCCGATGCTGTTGCCATAGCCAGTCTCCGCTAATCACTTGTCGTGTGTTGTTACATACAATCACTAGTTTATAAAAAAATACTGATAACAATTTAGACACTACAAAAATATCATCAATTTCGCCTCGCGATACACAACACAAAAGACAACTTCAAAATGTAAAGACTTTCGGGATTACTTGGCGAGGATACATGAAATAAATATTTTGCCGTGTTGATCTCCTCGTTTTCCGAGTTAAAGTTAACTCCGGTTTTTGGTTAGCTTGTTATTTTAAAATAGAACTATGCAACAATGTGGGTTCTGTTCAATGTTGTCTGGGCTACTACGGCGGGCTATGTGTGTTGGAAGCCGACGAGGCAGCAGTGAATCGTATTACAGGGAGCTCGGCGACCAAGACACGCTGGTAATTTTTTCTTTTAAGTTCCTCCTAACCTATAGAAGCTAGTGTTGTTACTTATTGTGTACTTTTCATTCATATTTATTGGCAAATTTCAGTCGTAAATGTATGAAGGCTGACACATGTATATGGCTATCAACTACTTAGTTGCAGTTGTTTGTATGTCCAGTAGTTTAATGGGAAAATTATTCTATTTACTATCTACACAGACTAGCTTTAAATATATACTTATTTTTTATTGTTATGTGCATGTATTGGTTATTTAATTCTAACATTACTTTTCTATTTTGTTACCTATTATTTTTGGTAGCATATTACTTTTACATAATATTGTAATAAGCGGCAATGAATAATTACTTAGTTAAAACAGTTTGTCAACAGTTGTGACTATATTAAAGTGAAAGTTAGCATTTCACCAAGTTGATTCTATTACGTTACCTATGTTATGCTAAAATATCACTGTATGCTTAACTACGAGCATGGCTGTATATTTGTATTTACCAATGTTTATTTTCCACTTATCGTCGCCTTAGAGTGAATATCTTGTATGTAATTTGGATGTAATTTTTCAGGGCAAAGTAAAATGTGCCGAGTAAAACTATGTTAACAAATGAATTTTTCTCTAATTAATGTTTTCATTGTGTGCATGTATATCATTGTCAACTATAAAATATTACACTTGTTTTTAAACTATTTGAATTAAAGGTTTTTCACGGTACGGTGACATTGTGTGTGTGGCTTGTTATATTTTTATTGCCATGTCCAAGTCCAAGGTGTGTCTAAATTTAAAATTTCTTTCTGATATGGCCTAGATTATCATGAACACAGTCTGATAGGGAAAAATTACAACGCAATACACATGGTTTTGGTTTTATGTTTTGAGTGTTAACGGCAAAATAATTCTGAAAAATTTAAACATGTCACAAGAATTTGCAAGCATGTGGACAATAAATTTATAGAAGTAATTTGTCAAAAAATTAAGCACTCTGAATAAATATGAATAAGGACAAACTTGGGATACCTTGGAGTGTGTCTATCAGCTTGAGAATAGGATAGCGTCAGGAAATGCGAAGGACTCATACGAGATAGTCTACTTACCTTCTTAAGGCACTGGGAGTTATTTATGGTATGCAAGTTTGTACTCCGATGGTTACTAAATTGCCTACTGCCCATCTTTTGTCTATGAAAAGTTAATAATCTTTATTTAAAAGCGCCCAAATGGGTAATAAGAAGTTTAACACATGTACACGGGTATGCATATATGTATATATATGTATATATAAGTAATAAAGAATTATTACCTATATATATATGTATATATCCGATAGCACGGATAGGTACTACTGCCTGCTAGACCTGTCTGATGGACCATCAGGAGTAGTGTATCACCGGCGGTCACACACCGCTTCACTTTTGCTTTACTAAGAAACCAAAGACACCTTGAGAGAAAGTGCTCAATTTAACGTACCCGCCCTATGCAACCTTTTTTCAAATTTTCATGGTGTAGCCTACGAGTTTGGTACAGTCTAAGGGCCGTATTCCAGAACTCTACTCAATGCTCAAGTCAGGATTTGAGCAGACTTGAGTATGATTTCAAGCACTGGAAATACGACCCTAATGGCAAGGACTTGAGTATGATTTTCAGTGCTCACTGCAATACTCAAATCCTGACTTGAGTATTGAGTAGAGTTTTAGAATACGACCCTAAGACAGTAAAAAAATCAAGGTTAAACAAGTATTAATTTAAAAAAAGATCTAGAAATGTACTTAATAGAAAAACGAGAATCAACATAGCAAATTATTTCTGATGAATTCTTAACAGTCAGAACTGGAAGAAAAAATAACATAAGAAGAAGACGTTAATTAGAAAGAGATAAAACATAATTTCGCCGTGTCTACCGGTGGTGCACCCTGCCCCTACACATTTTTTGGTCGATGGGGCGATGATATGTCACTGGTGGTGGCCATATGAGAACCTTTCCCGCCAGATAGCAAATAATGTGATTTTGGTGCCGGTCCAAACGTGTTAAAAAGTCTTGTGAATGCTAACAGCAGTATGCAGTATAGTACGCTTGCTAAAGCCCGAACATTAATTGTGTTATCTGTTTTATGTCAATTACTGTTATTACTTTAGGTGCAGAATGTCGGGCTCAGGTTTTCTAAATTCAATAGATACAGTGAAACTGTATGAGAATGGCTGTTGTTTATAATTTTCATCTTTATTAATTGTGGGTTCTGTCACTGATGATTGTACGATAGCAAATAAGTTAATAAAATAATTTGAAACACATGCGCTCATTAGCCTGGAATGAAGAAAGTTGAACGATGAAATAAGAGAGTATAAGATGAGTAGTTGTGAAATAAATTGTATTTAATTTTTTAATATTCGCATGTCTAATAAACTTTGAATTAAAACGTCCAAGATTGATTTGTCAGAGCGATTTTTTAATTTAGGGTACCACAAGCACATGAATAACACCATAATGTTATTTCATGGGACTAATTCTTTTTATAATTTAGTTAAAATTGAAAATATATGAAACAAAAATTTTTTTTACCAATTTTTGTTTTTATATTTATTACAAAATCCTGATAAATATATATCACTTTTATCTTAACATTTTGACTCCTTTTTTCTTAAACTTTATGTAATTTCTCCCTAACCATTGGTTAATTAGACTTAAAATGAAAATATCATGAAGCCAGATATGCAATTCAACTGCGACTATTTATTTACATAAATTTATACTAAAAACTTTTCATTTTCTAAGTGTGACGGGTGGGACACTCACGACGCCCGCCTGTTTGAGTTGATGGCTTCATTGCCAAGATCAAGACAAACTATCAATATTTTGTTCAGAAATTATTTCATATGAGATAAATTTAATGTTAAAGCTCTAATTTATATACACACTTAATTAATAACTTTGATAAATTTTAAGGAAATTAATGTGTTAAGTGTTGTGACGGGTGCTACGAGTTACAATTGAATACACATAATTAATAAACTTTTTACACTGTTTAATATGAGATCCATCGTTAGTAAGTAAATATTTTATAATATTTGTTTTATTAAGGCATTTTAGCATAAAAAAACAATTAAAGAGCTGATAAAGTAATTGTACTATTTTTCTTGAAGCACTGTCTATGACGACATGAAATCAAAGTCACTCATGTAAAATGCGTTAATAAATTTGAAAAATCCTGTCGCATACTTGAATATTATGTATCATATCAAAATATATCGAATTTTAGAAGTTTTGCTCGAGTTAGAACTAGTGGAGACAGACTTTTCGTGAATTTCCTGATACTAAAAATCATCAGGAAAAATGTTGTCACTTTTTTTTTATGTGTTATAATGTCTTAATTATGAGAAGAATTGTAAATTTGTTTGCAAATGATGGCTCTACGTATAAACAGTGTATTTTTTAAAATTCTATGTATTCAAATGCAACTTGAATCGTCACACTTCGTCACAATTTAGTTCGTTAAATCTTAATATTTACATTCCTATTTACGTGCACAATGACCAACCAAGCCAAAATAATGACCCTTAGCATAATTGTTACTTTTACAAAAGCAAATGCCAACAGATTGCATATTTATTGGTTAAAATAAAAATATATATGTTTCATTGTGACGGGTGGGACTTGAAATTATTATTTATTGAAACTTTAATAACTCCTCGCCATATATACTTCCATGCAAACACTTATCACTACTTTAAAATTCATAAATTGCATTTTCTTCGACAGTAATAACTATTTTAGAAAGACGCACAAATAACCGCGAAAATTGTTGTTAACATTGTAAGAAAAAATGCTTCGCTATAGACGACAGCACTATGGCTGCGTTAAGGAAGACAAAAAATATAATAATTGTACAACATCGGATGAACTGCTTCTGCGTTGCCAACCTTTGAGAACCCTGTTGACACTTTTGGAATATTTATTGTTGACATTTCTTCATTTTTCGAGGTGTCGTATATCTATGTCCCATTATTTTCTGCTTTGGAATATTTCTCGTTGATTTTTTCCTAAAGCCGTAAGTACGCATTAACAAGTTTTTTGAGGTATTTGAAGTGAGTATCACGTACTTAACATATCGTAAATGTGTTGAAGGTTTAAATTCAACATGCCAATGGCGTTCATCGTACTGTTGTTGACTGCACATTGTTAAGTATTAATCGGAATAAATAATTGTAATGTACCATTTTAATTTTCGAATCCCATGATTAAACTGTGCACGGCCTGCGCTTGCAAATCTGTTTAATCAGATTTAATTCTAACTTCTTCGAATGTAATACGAACATCATACGTCACTAAAATAAAAATCATAAAACGGTTTACTCCTGAACCTGTTACAAGTTTTTGCTGTACGTCGCTGTTTATCATGTTATCATTAATAAACACAAGTATGATGGTAAGAAGCTAATACGCTCAATCCGACCCAAACAACGGATCGCATTCGGTACTTAAATGATTCATTTTTTGTGAATGTTGATGTAGCTATTCTTTCTATATTATAAAAAAACCACGGAAGAAAAGATAACAATGGAAGTCCTTAAGCGTAGATTACTATCAAAACTTCTGTCGCCAAAACTCGCACAGTAATTTGTTTAAAAACTATGATATGATAATGATTATTTTTCGTAGTTTCTAATTTAAAAACATGTAGCAATTTCTGGGCCGTTAATGTAATTTAAACTTTACTCAGTTCGCATATCGCTAAAAGTTCAATGACTATTATTGCAAGTTACGACGTTTTGATTTAACATTGAAATTTAAATATGCTGCCATAGCAATAGCTGAAACACTAGGAGAAGACAAACGATTAACTTCTGTTACGTTCTCCAAAAAATACTCAAGACCACATTGCAAGGGTATAAGGTTTACTTTTCTTTCTTATTATAAAAAATCTATTAAGGT